TAGGGTTTGCAATGGTTTTAACCGGTTAACCAAAAAACCGGTTAACCGGCCAATTTTGGAAAAACCGGTTTTGACTTTTGAAAACCGGTTTTTTTGGTTTTTTCGGTTTTTTTTAAAATCGATAGTTTCTTACCATCGATAGCCAAAAAACAAAATAATTGCAATAAAATTAAATCAAACATGAACTAATAACCCAAAAATATGAAAACAATTTAAAAATCTACAAAAGTTAAAAACAATTATATGTATTTGTAAAATATTAGTCGGTTTTCTGGTTAATTATATGGTTTAATGGCAGATAGGATAAAAATGTTACATAAAATACAAGCTTTAATTACTGTTAAAATAAGATTTTAACAAACATAGAGTACTCAAAGTTTCATCACTCATTCTTGATCTGATTTTGTTGCAAAAGTATCCTGCGACACTAAAAGCTCTTTCGCAGTCAGTAGTGGTTGGACTGACTGTTTTAGTAATTGCTAAAACTTTTTGCAGCAAAACTCCTTTGTAGTTTGATTCTTCGTAAAGATTAACTTCCTCAATTAAACGTTGCTCAACAGTTCCTTTTGTATTGTTAGGCTGGTTTTTCTTTGCTTCAACTTTATCGTAAAATGACGATTCTGAAGAAGTTTGACTTGCAAAGTTGGTGTCATTTTGACTGTCGAAACTGGACTCACTTTTTTCGAGCAAGGAGGCTTTTTTGATGATTTCTTTCATTGTTTTAAGAAGCATTCTTTTGGATGGCATAGCTAGAAAGTACTTTGGATTTTCTATGAGCAGTTTGTCTTCCAGATATAGCTGAACAAAGTAAATTTTAGAAAATCGAGAGGATAACTTTTGAATAATCAAATTGTGCAATTCAACAGCAAGTTCAGTATTCGACTCATTTAGCTCATCCAAAGCTACTTCAATTGACAAATGAGCTTCATATAAAGTGCATTCTTTGCGACACAATGAGTTTACACATTGCTCAATCGGAGTGAGTGCAGAAATGATTGAATGTATAGTTTGCTGTTCTTCTGTAGAAATCGCCAATTCATTTTTGTTCAAAACATGCAGAATGTAAGTAATAGGTTCTCGGACTTCGTAATATCTAGTCAGCATTTTGTTGAGTGAACTCCACCTTGTACGGCTATCAAGTATTAAATTCTTCACTTTTTGAATGTCCTCCTTGATTCGGGATTTCAGTGCGTCATTTCTTACAGGCGATTTTCGAAAATATTTAACGATGTTTCGAACTTTTGTGATTGCACTTGAGATTTCAGGTTGATTGAAACGCGGAGTAAAATTTGGAAAAGCATTTTCAAATGCTAGGAGTCCCAACTCGTCTTGAAGTTCGTCTTCGGAAGAATCGCTTTCTTTCTCAGAATCTTTTTCACTGTACAAAGCTTTTTTAACCGCCAGCTGCACTCCATGCGCCAGACACTCTTGCTGAATTAAGTGCACTTCTTTTGCCATACAACCGTTAATTGCAGCACCATCACTCATCATGCAAATTAAATTTGAAAACGAAACATCAAATTTTTCTAGTTGTGAAAGCAGTTGAGAGTTTGATAGAGATGCGTTAGTCTTTCCTTCAATCCGAACAAGGCCTAGATTCCATTGTTTGTTTGCTGAATGCAAAATGACATTCATATAGCGCTTGTTGTTTATTGATGTCCATTCGTCAAAAGAAACAGCGAGTAGAGAAATGGATTGTAGCTCTTTGGAGATTTCATTTTTGTAAAGTTCAATTACTTCTTTGGAAAATTCTTTGACACAATTGTTGATGGTGTTAGGCGACTCTGGAAGGTTTTCATATCCTCCATCTTTAATCAACTTGCGAATTGTTTTAGAAGTAGCTAGGACTAAAAAAGTCAGTCCGTCTTGTGCACACAGACGAGCAATAGTTGCGTTTAGAGATTCATGATTGAGTGGTGGAAAATATTCGGTGATAGCAGGCTGTACCAATTCAATCGTTGTAGTAAGGATATTTGAATTGCCCTTTTCTGAAGTAATAGATAATTTGTGAACTTTGGTTACGTGATTCCGCATGCTGCTAGTTCCATTGTATTTGAGGACTTTCTGGCAAGAAGGTATCTTGCATTTTCCAGCGACCGTTGTTCCATTATCATCTTTAATTGGATCAAAGTACTTCCAAATGGCAGACATGTTGGGGAACTTAGACGTACTTAAAATATCTATTAATTGTAAATAGAAACGTCGTAGAATTAGATTACACAAAGATGGAAAGTACTCACAATAACAGCTAATTGGCAAAACACAAAAAAATGTGTGAGACTTTCATAAAGTACGTAAAAAACCAAAAAAACCAAAACCGGTTTTAACCGGTTTTAATGAATTTGTAACCGGTTTTTGAAAGTCAAAACCAAACCGGTTTTTGCAAACCCTA